TTATATCTGCACAAAAGTTCACCACAGACAGTTATGTATAACGGAGAAGTCACAATACAATGCGTTCTATTATAACAGTAAAAATGTAACTCACCATATAACAAATTCGTTCTGTATTTACCCTCAATAATAGCATTTATTCCAATTAACTTGAGGTGGTTCAGAGGTATGTCAGCAAGTTGGACCTTTTTGACGGAAGTTGAACCACAGAAAATCAATTTGAACTTATGATCAGTGGATTTGAAGGAGAAATCATTGCTGGAAACTTTGAAATTCTGCATTATGTAGGAACAACCAAGTTTAAGCTGTGTTTTGAATTTTGATACCAAATAAGATGGCACAATGGCTTGAATCAAATCCAACTGTGAAAATACAAACATCTTGAAATCAGTATCATATACCAGTACTGTTACAACAAAATCAGAATGGCAAAGCAGAAACGTTTAGATTGTATTATACCTTTGAATCAAACAGAATAAGCTCTAAGTGCTCTCTATTCTGAGAACTGGTAACAGACCACAAATGCTTACATCTAACAACAACCTTCCACAAATCCTTCGAATCGTCAATGCTACTGATATACTCGATTGGGCGCGCCATCGTCACGCAGCGATTCGTAACAACGCAGAGAGCCTTGCGTGAATGAAAATGAAAGGGACGTCTGTAGCAATGGCTTGCGTGAATGAAAACGACTGGAAGGTGTTAAGCAATGGAGGTTATACATAAGTACACATTGGGGAAGGATTGAAGGAAGAGTGAAAAACTTTTGGTGTTCCATTTGAATTTGAATTCTGATTAAGAGAGGCATAATGGTTTGGCATGGGGAAGAGGAAGAGAGGCACAATGAATGGCAAGGAATAATGAATTGGTATTCCCCATGGTTGGGTTTCTCACGCTGCCTGCACAATAAATTGAATTGGTTCTTTATTTTAAAAAACAGTATAATATGTGGGATTTATTTGAAAAAAAAAATTTGAAAATGTGGTGAAAAATTGTGGGAGTGCCACATCAGATTCAAATCAATGTGGTGCAAGATGAGTTTCCAATTTTACCCCAATACAATAGACCAACAATGAATTTTTTCAGCTGTGGTGTTGTGGTAATTTCCAGAGACTATCATTTTTATAGATTTATAATAGATTTATAGTAGATTGCATAGAAAGATAAATGCATATTTGTTTGGGGCTACTTTGGATTTGAATTGTTTCAAAATGAGATGCGGGGGTGTTACTATCAGAAACACGAAACGTTAGTAGAATAGGCCCAAATAAATTCACCTATGCGAAGAACGAAAAAACCTTCAACACTTTCATCTTGAATCTTCTCGCGCGCACAACACCTTCAACCTTACAATCTTTTCTCCTTACTTCAATTTTTCGTGGAAAACAAAAGAACCTGAATCCTATCTCGTCGAATGCACCTTCCTGTTTCGTTTTTTTCTTCAACTTGTTCCCGGTGAGTATTTCCATATTTTCTACTATTTGATATGCATATAAGGTGTTTGTAAATTGTTCTGTGTGGAATAGATTGTGTTATTGTTATGTTTTTGATGAATTGGATGTTTCCATTTGATGCTGATGTGTGTTTTGATTTGGATTAGAGTTTCAGGTTAAAGCTGAATCTGTTGTGATTCAAAGGAAAGTTGCAGTTCGTAATCAAAGGAAAGTAACTTGTTGGCCCTGGTGTTTGAATAATGGCAGATACTATAGTTACATCTGACCAATCTTCTACTTCCTCGCTAAACGCTACCCGAATAATCTGTCATGTGTAAGTTCCTCTGGATTTTATTATAGTTTTTCAAATATTTATTTGGTAGTAAGAATACTGATCAACCTAATCTCTTTTATACATTTTCATATAAAAATAGATGTCAGAAGCAGTTTTCTCAATACACATGTCCTCGATGCAATTCACGATACTGCTCCCTCCCATGTTATAAAGTAAGTGAAGTTACAAAATAGTTATGTTTGATTTGTGAATTATAATAAAATTCACTCCTTTCTATGAATACTCTAATTAAGTCTTCTTCCTTGTTTGCTATGAACTGCCGTAGTTTTGATCTCTTTTATTGTCGTTTTTACAGTCTCATAGTCTTTGTTGTACTGAATCCTTCATGAAAGAAAATGTTGTTCAAGAGCTCCAGCAAATGCAACCTGATGAACAAACCAAACATAAAATGTTGGACATACTGAAGAGATTTCATTCAGAAGAGGAAATGGATAACATGGATGAGGATTGTAAGTCATTCGTAGTTCTTGCTTTGCTTTCAGAAATTCAAATGTTTCAGAGTTGTTTTACTGCACTCTTGTTAAATATTTATCTTTGCCTGTGAACTTATTTAGTTTTGTATTTTTCATCTGAAGCATATTTTTTCACTTATAACAATAACATTCAATTCAACAACTTTCTAGCTTTTCAGTCAAAAAAATACATTTTCCTTGCTTTGTTCCAAAATGTAGAGTTCGTTATTCAATGCATTGGGCTCTATTAGAACCTAAATTTCAGTGAAGCATTTTACTAAACCTCCAAAAGGGCCCTTGAAGGATTATGCCCCTGTACTATTTCAGTGTGAATGAGTTAATTTTATAGGAGATGTTGGCCCTTCATAATTGCATATTGATGAATTGTCGATGAAGCATTTAGTTAATATGGAATCTAGAATTACTGAAGCCTAGCATTGTTAATCATTTATCTAATGTGATTTTGTCAACAGATTATCACATCATAACCGAACTTTTACTTTTATTATCGTGTTTGATTATGTTGGGAAGAGTTTTTGAGGTTGTAACTCCTTAAGTATACCTATAAAGAAGGGTACTGAATTTCTATCTGATTGTTTTCTCAGCTTTTGAAGATTCAACATTGTCTGAGGAGACGATCGAAAAAATATTGTCAGGTATGTTCCTATTGAATACTAATTCTTTATTGCTTGCGTCTTCTAACTGCTTTACCCCTGCACCACCAGTAAAAAATAACTGATTTGATTTTCATATGCCTACAGGACAAGAAATCAGTTTTGATGATTTATCTCTTGAAGAGAAGAAACGATTTCAAAGAGCTATTGCTTGTGGGGAATTAAGCAAGATGATCACACCATGGGATCCATGGTGGTCAAAGCATTCCGCCAGAAATATCCGTCTTAGTAGGGAAGGAACTCAACTTGTTCAACCCCTTTCAGAGCAGGAATCTCTAGATGATTCTGAGAGTAACGAATCAAGTGAAATTCCTCTCGGCCCTGAAGTTCCGCTACCTCCTTTAAGTAGGCTTAGTTCCAAGGAACCATCACCTCTTTTAACTGTTCATCTAGTTGATATATTATACAGCTATTGCTTCACTCTTCGCCTCTACAACGGGGATTGGAAGTCAGACCCGATGGGGTCAGTCATGGTTGTGTTGAGTGTATCTTCAGTTTTGGGTCAAGGTGGGCAGCCAGAGACTGTACTGGAAGCCCTCACACATTGCTTGGAGCAAGTGTGCTCTCCAGCTTACAGACACATGGGGGGGCTGCAATTCGGTTTAGGTGTTATTGATGATGTGATCAGTCTACTTTCATTAGGAGGCCCTGCTATGGTGTGTGCCCTTTGCGATATGCGTCGGTTGATTCAAGAAGGAGAAAAGGAGGTCAAATCAGAAAAGCCAAGAAAGTTTAGAAGGAATGAGACTAGAAGTGCTGTTAAGCAGGCAGAAAGAAAAATATATTTCATCATGTGTTGGGTTCATGAGCAGGCAAAGGAAGCTTGGTCTTCTTTAGCAGCCATTGTTACAACACAAAAAACATTGGCCGTGAAATTTCAGGGGAATAATAAGGCTGAAAAATTGAATAGAGCAGAAACCAGAGGCAAATGTTTAATTGAAGAGATTGAATGATTTATGCAAATTGGTACTCCCTTACGTGTTAACCACATTTATTTATCTTTCAAAAGTATGTAGACTTGAAATTGTTCCTCTCAACGCAGTTTTGTACCATATACTTCTAGATGTAGGAATCTGCACTTTCAAATATGTTTAATGTATTAAACTTCTATTTATTGGTGAATAATTTAACTCTGAATTACTTTAGTTACCATATTTTCTTTTCAATTTTCTTAGTTCAATCAGTTTACAGTAGAAGTCATTCTTGCATGATTGGTGATTAATTGTTCAACTCTGTCACCAAAGGCGAAAATGCATGGAATTCTTAATTCTTAGACGGGGGTGTTGAATTGTTTCAATGGATTCTTGAATAATGTGTTGAATGTGACATGAATTAATTTGTGTTGAAAAAATTCGAAATGTTGAATGAGAAATGAATGTGAGCCACTTATAATATTTTGCAAAATATAATTAGTTGTTGTGATTGTTTATATTTTTATCTCACCTAAATTATTTAGAGTCAACTATTTTATAGAAAATCAATTTTTTATTTATTTTTATTTTCACCAAAATTCATCATTTTTTTTGTCTATAAATAGAGCTTTGGTTAATTTGATTTGGACAAAAAAAATCTATTTTTTCTATTTAATTTTTCTTTTTTAGTGAAATGAATCCCAACAATAACTCTGTTGTAATAAAAAAATAAAAACAATTTTTTTAGTGAAATGAATCTCAACAATAATTCTCTTATAATAAAAAAACAAAAACATAAAAAAAAAAAAATGAAATAAAAGTGGTGGAATAAGGTGTTGGATTAGAGAGAAGATGATGTGGAGGATAAAAAATGAGAAAAATAAGTGTTAAATAATTTTGCATGGTAAATAATCTTAGTAGTTCCCAAGGATGTACTAGTCGCAAACTTCCAAAAGATAACGTGTTATAATAGGAAGCCTTGCATGAATGTAAACGTGTACTCCACTCTACTTGAAATATCAAAATCAGTCCATGTTGCGTTGTTGAGTTTGAGTGTAGAACTTTTGCTACTCAACTAAACTCAACTGTTTATTTATTTCTTCAACTTCAAAACCATTTCACACACGCACATTCCCTTCATTAATTCCATCTCAATTATTTCCATTTAATTCCTAATGTCATCACCAATCGCCACCACCCTCTCATCACCACCCTACGACCGTCTCAAAGCCGTCAAAGAATTCGACGAAACCAAAGCCGGAGTAAAAGGCTTAATAGACTCCGGCATCAAAACCATTCCATCTTTCTTCATTCATCCACCCGAAATCCTATCCGACCTCGTTCCAGGATCCGGACCTGAACCGGAAATTCCAACAATTGACCTATCTGCTATACATGAATCCCGTGCCACCGTGGTGGATCAGATTCGTTCCGCTGCGAGTACGGTTGGATTCTTTCAGGTGATCAACCATGGTGTATCGCCGGATTTACTACGAAGTGTTGTTGGTGCTATGAAGGCGTTTCATGAACAGCCTGCGGAGGTTAGGGCGCAGGTGTACCGTAGGGAGGCAGCGACGGGCGTATCGTATATATCCAACGTCGATCTTTTCACTTCTAAAGCTGCCAGCTGGCGCGACACACTCCAGGTTTTGACTCAATTAAAGTTACTTAGAAAATTGATATCAAGTCTGTTATATAGGTTGTAAAAAAGTGTTATCTACTATTGATTTTATAAAATTGATTTTCATTACTGATAGAAGGGATAGGGTAAAATAGAAGGGAGTTGTGTGAAATATCGTTCTATTATTTGGAATTTTTACAAACTAATGGGGAGAACTTACATAATAAATTAATTCCATCTCTTTAGGTGTCTTTGATATGAGTTTAAGGAAATATGTGAATGAGAAAAAGAAAAGAGAACAACATAAATTTGAAGTATTGATGAGCTTAACTAAAATAAAATAGAGAAATATTAATTATTTTAAAAGTAAAATAATACCATTATGTTACATTATATTTCATAAAACTTATAATTATTTTTAGAGTAATATAATACCATTATGTTACATTATATTTCATAAAACTTAATTTAATTTATTTCTTTTTGAGAAGAAAGGAAAAATTTGATGATACCACAGTTTTTCTTTTATATTTTGTAAAAAAATATTTTCATCAAATGTATTAAAAATTGGGTTTGCCAAAGGAATGCTGTAACCACGGTGGGTGAACCATATCAGGTGCCTACATACATATATAGAGGTCAAAAGAGATATGGAGTGCGAAGAGGAGGGGGTTTTCTTCGGGGTTTGGGAGAAGGAATAGATAGAGCTCAAAAAAGTGTTTGAATTCGTTGGGGAATTAGCTCGAAAGGGAACAACGAATTCTCGACAAAAATTAAAGTGATCTCTAAACCGAAAATGAAAGTAGTTTTTCATCATCACATTGTATCACACTACATTGAAATAAGCCTATACATTTTTGTTTTCATCACATTGTATCACACTACATTCAAATAAGCCTATACATTTTTGTTTTCATAGGAAAGTAGAGAGAGAAATTAATATTAAAGAATTCAAAACTGTATATTGATAAGGTGTAGGTGTTTGCATTGGTGTTCAACTAACTTTTCTGATAAGTTATATATCTAAAAAGGTCCGCTCTTGGCCATTCCCACGTTGCCTAGCAAAGGCGTAAAGTTTTTCGGTCATATAGATTAATGTCATAATAGAATTGTATATGTATTAAGCCTGGTTGTTTGATGACAATTCTGAAAAATGGACACCATTCTTCTTAATTTCGTCGTGCGAAATGTATTTGCCTTTTCATGTTCTCATTTTGTGATTATGTTTATTGAGTTTTTCAAATGAATCTGAGCACATGTTAGATGCAAAAGACTGCATATGTTTGAATGATGATTCTGTGCAAAAGAGTTTATTAAAAAAATTCTGATTTTTATGCTTCATTTCACATTTCTCTTAATTTCGGTTTTGACATATTGTTAGGGGTGACTGAATCTTAGTTTACGTATCATGCTCAAAATTCAGTTTACTACCCGACAGATATTGGCTATAGGTTTAGATGGTAGAGTGTTAACCTAGAAGTTTTAATAATTTTTTAAGAAGAATAAAAAAACAAACATTAACTCTTCCAATTTGCAAAATATCCAATTCACTAGTATTATTTTTCTTTCTACTTTGGCCGATTCACATCAGTATTCACCTGTTTGATCTTATGACCGATCCAATAACCAACTTGGACCAATTATCTCTTTGGCTTGACTGGTTCAACCGGCTAGTTTGAGTCATCCCTAAACCCTAAACCCCTTCGTGTTTTAAACGGTTAGGTAATCTCATCTAATTTCCGCAACTAAAAGTGACGTTTTTTAGTTGTCTTCAATTTACATAAATCTTATATATTGAGGAATGTTGAGGAAAGCATAAAGAATCTAGAGAGAAATCTAAGTAAAATCTCATATTTTGATTGAATGATCAAGAAAAGGTACAAAATGATATATATACCGCGAGAGATCCTAACAACCTCTAACCAATGTTAACTATATAATTGCTCTGCTGACTTAGCATAACAGAATGTAGTTGGGATTAACTAAGCTACACTAAGCTACATCTTAACAAACCTAAGGTTACAGCTAGATTCTATGGAAAGCAGTAACTTCTGTTACACGAAATCTATTGGGTCATGTGATCTTAGCATTTATTTTGACACATTCTGATACCTTTGATCAAGTGTTACTCGTAAACTTTGTTAATTATTCGTGCTTGAGAATCATCAGATTAAGACAGAATTAAAATGGTATTTGATCATTATTTTAATGGAATTTCACAGATTAGGACAGGACCGATCCCAGCGGAAGAAAAGGAGATTCCAGAGGTGTGCAGAAAGGAAGTAATGGAGTGGGATAGAGAAGTAGTCCGTGTAGGAGACATTTTGCTGGGTTTGTTGAGTGAAGGGCTGGGATTAGGCGAAGAAGGGTTCAAGGAACTGGGTTTGTCACAAGGGAGAGTGATGGCTGCCCACTATTACCCATTTTGCCCTCAGCCTAATCTTACTGTTGGACTCAACTCCCATGCAGATCCAGGGGCATTGACGATATTGTTGCAGGGTCATATCGGTGGCTTACAGGTTCGGACGCAACACGGTTGGATTCATGTCAAGCCTCTTGATGGAGCGTTGGTTATCAACATTGGAGATTTACTTCAGGTCAATTTTATTTTCTAATCATTTTCCTTCTTTTTAAAAAAAAAAATTTAATTTTTCACATCGATCATTTTGTGTCAGATAATTTCTAATGAGGAGTACAAGAGTGCTGATCATCGGGTATTGGCCAATTCTTCTAATGAGCCGCGGGTTTCTATAGCTGTTTTCCTGATTCCGGGTAACAGGGAGAAGCTCTTTGGACCTTTACCAGAGCTAACATCAGCAGAGAAACCAGCTCTTTATAGAAATTTCACACTCAACGAGTTTATGACAAGGTTCTTCAAGAAAGAGCTAGATGGTAAATCATTGACGAATTTCTTCAGACAATGACGTGTTTATAGATTGCTGCTGATATATAGATGTATAAGTAACTTTTTAAATTGGTTACTGTATTGCTAATACTTATTATGCAAGTAGATTGTTGAACAAAGGTGTTGTATATTAGTATATGTGAATATATAGAAGCACGCTTGTTCTTCAACAAGCTTATAATACTCTTATCATGTCATGTTTAGAATTTTGCGTTGAATTTTGTTTGTTGCTGAAGTAGTTAAATCATAAGGGTGGGATTTGAAAAGATTCTTTCATGACTCATGGGTGCTTTCCATGTCCCAAATACTTTAGGAAGTTTGGGTTTGGCTTTTTTTCCCCTTCCTTATTACTCATGAAACCCTTATTATGTTTTATACATATAGGCGAAATCCTGTAGGGAACAGAAGTTGCAGAATTTGGGGCCATGGTTTGATAAAAAGTCATGATCTTATGAATCAAAATCAATTCCTATTATTTTACAGTTCCAGTTCAATTTTATTAAAGAACCTGACTTTAGTATTATAATGGAAGCTAATACTATGTGATTTCATACATGAAGCTTGAATTAGTCATGGCAATATGAAGTTCACATGAACTGAACTGAATTGAACATAGAATAAAGAAATTAAATATACACATGTGAGAATCATTGAGCATTTATGGTTTGGAATAGATTGCTTAAGTAGCCTTCAGCGGACTTAATAGCCTTCAGCGGACTTAATAGCCTACTTAACAACTTAACCAACATTTATTTAGGGCTGTTAATGATATATTACTTAAAGAAAATCGAACCGAACCATAATAAAAAGTAATTTAAACTGAAAAGTACCGTTTCAATTTGCTTTTAACTGAACTAAACCAAAATTATTGGTTTGATATAACGGTTCTAAATTTCAAAACGTATTAAACCATTATGTAAGTGTTTGTTGACAACAATTTTAGTAAAACACTGACTTGATAATGTTTTGCTAAATGTCTTGATATTTGAAGCAAACTGGTTTTGAATGATGTCAAAGCAGATGTCTTGACATCTGCCTCCTGGTCTGAACGTGACTTCATATATGTTTTCAGTTTCTGTTTCCTGTTTTTATGCGCACCATTATTCAGGATTTGTGACTCATAGTTTCAGAAAAATATGGAGGAATATTTTTCTATTTGCATTATTCTTATGGATTATATTTTGGCCTGTTTTCATGGAAATATTCAAGGGATTGGAATATTTATTTTTCAGCCCAAACCTACCGTTGCGCCTTTATAAGGACTTGCATCCTTATTCATTAGACTGAAACTTTTAAAAAGAAGAATATATTCTTTCTGTTTTAGAAGTCTAAGTAATTTTAATTGTAATACACTCTAAGTATTGGTTTAATACTTGAGTTGTTAATTGTTGATCATTCATAAGCTTTTAATATTGAATGATTGAAGTTCTTAAAACTTAATATTTCTGTTGTTCTTCACTGTTAGTGATTGAAGGGATTTGAGGAGGGCCTCATACCTAGGTGTGTCTTAGGTAGAAGTATAGCACGGGTAATGATTAAGTAATTAGATCGTAAACTGGTTGTTTACTGAGGGTCTACGAATTAATACTATTTAGTGAACTTGTCCCTGGCTTGATAGCCCCCAGAGTAGGTGTTGTTGTACACTGAACTGGATTAACAATCCCTTGTGTTTCTTACCGCTTTTAATATTGTTGTATTATCCTCAGATATTTGTGTCGTGACATCTCCTTCGACATCACATATCTGATACCAGAATCTCAATTGGTATCAGAGCAGACATCATGCTCTATATCTGGGTGAGATCTAGGGAAGATACTTTCTGGTACTATAGACAAGGAATGAAAATTTGTGAACAGACCACCATTCTAGATGGAAGTAATTATGACTATTGGAAACCACGTATGATGGCCTTTCTAAAGTCTCTGGACAGTAGGGCTTAGAAAGCTGTCTTAAAATGATGGAAACACCCTGTCAAATTGGGAGAAAATGGAGAACCTACTTCTGAGTTAAAACCAGAAGAAGATGAAATTGCTCTTGGAAATTCTAAAGCCTTGAATGCTATATTCAATGACATTGACAAGAATATTTTTAGATTAGTGAACACATGTGAAGTAGTTAAGGATGCATGGAAGATTCTTCAATCTACTCAAGAAGGCACATCCAAAGTTAAGATGTCAAGACTTCAGTTGCTCACTGTTATACGGTGAGAGAACTAACTTGGGATGTTTTGCGTTTGATCGCAATTGTTGCGGATAGCAAGAGTCGCTATCGACTTGTCTTTTATCCAATAAGGAAAGGCTGAAAAGAACAAGAAAAACCTTTCGAGATTATTTCTTGAGTTCCGGGGGTAGATTATGAAAATGGAAGGTATTAGCATCCTTTTCATCCATAGTTATCTATAGGCTCTTAATTGCTTGCTAGATCAGTTGCTTTGTTTGAAAATGTATTTTGTGGTGGTTTTTGAAAGTATTTTTGAAAATGCGCCTTCGTTTAGAAAAACTTTGTAATGATTCTCGTTTTTAAGAATGTATACAAAGTGTTGGACTTTTGGAAATATTTCATGTTTTGAAAGTGTTTGGTGTGTTTTTGCAAGGATGTTTGTTTTGAAAATGAGCAAGCAACTAAGAACGTTTCTACCTACTCAAAAGTCTTTGTTCTTTTCTTCCTCCTTTAGATGTTGCTATCTTACCATTGCTTGGTAAGAAGCCCCATCGTTGGATGTAAAGGGACGAGCGTGGATCATCGTATAGTCACGATGGCAATGTTGTGAGATATCTTAGTATTTCTCTTGAGGGACTAAGATCATTTGTAAGGCAATATTCGTAGCTTCATTGAAGGACTATGATCTTGTATTTCAATTGTTTTTTGCTAAGACATCTCACGTGCATAACATGACCATTTTTAGGCAACAAGTGGGGTTAACCCTAGGGGTGCATGTGTAAATAGTGTATTTGCATGCATTTAGTCCTTGATTATATGTTATCTACTTGTTGATTTTATCTTCCCATACAAATCCTAATTACTAGCATTTATATGAAAGCGATAAATTACGGAAAATAAATATTCTACACTATTACAATCATTAGGAAGATGGGGTGTACAAATTTACAAATGGGGATTGTAAGAAATTAAAGTCCTAATTATCTATTACAACTATATTGAAATAATGTACAAGAAATGTAAAATGAACTTGTTTTGTTTTTGTTAAAAGAAAATGAATTAGCTTAAGAAAATGTTTTTGGTCTTTTTGTTTCAAAAGAAATAAAATAAAGTATGTGAATATAAAAATATTTTGGTGTTTTTGATTAATGAAAATAAAAGTGATATTAAAAATAATAAGGGAAAAGAATCAGAATCAGCACATTGCTGATATAGGAGAGAATAAAAGTTCTGACTCTGATGCGCTGCAAGTCAGAAAGAAAATGTTATCAGACCAATGGAGGGTCAGAAGTTCTGGATCTGGATACACTAAAGTTCTGGAGTTGCTGGGAATAAGAGAAATCCTAGGAATTCTGATGCAGCTGGAAGCCTAGAAGTTCTAATGTTACTGGAAGGTCAGAAGTTCTGGTGGCTGAGGGAGTTTGGAAATTCTGGATGTTTAGAGAGAGTTTGGAAGTTATGAATGTAGCTGGAACCTAGAAGTTCTAGTGTCACTGGTAAACTAGAAGTTCTGATAATGGGTATGTGAGGTGTCAATGTTGTTGGAGGGAAATGTCTAGAAGTTCTGGTCTCGGATGGGGTGAAAATGTCAGGGAATAAACATAAAAAGGGGGTTTCTAGGGCTAGAACTCAGGTCCCTTAACACTAATGTCTTATGCGTGCGTTTTCTACCACTGGAGTGGCTATACATCCGGTATTAGAAGCAAAACATAAACACATAGCACAAAGCAAATTCTGATGATGAATTTCAACTCTTTCTCCATGCCCACCAGAGCATCTGCAACTTAGTCATTTCTCAACAGAACAGAAAATGCATACATGGTAGTTATGGCAGATTTCATCATGGTTTCAGAAACATAAAGTATCAGAACTGTAAATCAGGAACAAGCATGAATCTTGCTAATCCTAATTCTGAATCCTAATTTCTTTAAGAAGTTCTGAACTGAAGTTCTCTCTACTTAGACAAAAATACATGAAATTTATGAATATGTACAACATCAGAGTCAGGATATCTACATCGTAGTTTTGAACATGCAAGCCTATCAATGCCTAAATAATGTGATAAAAGTCAGCAGAAACTTTCCTTGCAGCTAGAAAATGTCCTGTGAGCTAGAGCTTAGTTCTGACTATTATGATGTTCTGATCAACTTTCTCACGTGCTCACAAAGTTGGAACAACCCTGGACTATGGATGGCTGGAAAATTCTGGAGCAGCCAAGAAGCAATGTTCTGGTTTTTCGAGATGGAGATTGATGAATATTGTATTGCAGTTTGTAAACAGAAGTTGGGATTGTTTCTAAATGCGCGTTAGAAACTGAGTGGGTGATTTGGCCAAGAGATGTGCAAGAAAATTAGAGTTTTTGGCGTAAAAGAAACAGAAGTCTAGTAGGTTTTTTGTGTTTATGTTTTTAGTTTCAAGTTCTTTGAAATTTTAGCAAGGTTTCAAGGCTAATTTTCAAATTCTCGACCTCTTTACAGTCGCAAATGAAATTCAATTTATAGGCAAGGATTTAGTAGCCTGGAGAAGTCAAAAGTACAACCATCATACACTAGGCGCTGACTTGTTCTTGAAGCAAGTTCAAACAAGTATGGTTCAAGGCACAAAGTAAGGTGGATAGCAGCTTTTAGCCGCGCCTAAGCTGGATTTGTAAGCATGAATTAAGGAAAAGTACCCTCAGAAGCAAAAGCAATGCATGGGCCCAGCATAAACTTGTACAAAAGTTTACTTTTCAAGGACAACAATGGTACTTCTATGTCACACGTGGGGAAATCTTTTGGATAAAGACTCAAAAGTGGGTGTGAGCATTAAATAATGATGAGATTTATAAAACCAGAAATCCTACAATATGAGATTATGCAT